GCCAATCACGACAAACGGGGCCGTGGCAGCTCTCAGACTTCTCTGTGGTCATTGTCAATCTGGCGCTGCGTACGGTCTCTACATAAAAACGAGCCCAATTTTGCAAGAAATCTGACAGATTTCCCGCGTACATCGTTGCGCGTGTAAACAATTTTCCGTAGTGAATTCTAGAAGTGTTATTTTCAGAATTCTATTGATGTCAGTGCAAAATGAATGTAATAAATGCTGTTGAACGACGGGAGAGAGGATTCGGTAAATATATAGGCGCGCACATGTCTTACGAGGGATTTAAACGACCAATTATTTTAGATAGGCGCAGGTTATCTGCGCTGTAATAATACAGTCGGGTTGATTTTATCAACTTGATTTGTATTGTTAAAATGCATTGCAATATTGTATTTTAATAATACCTTCTAGCTGTAAAATGTAACTGTAGTGGCGTATTTTGCAATCGGAGAAGATTAGAATGTCAACATAATACGCAATCAATATTAAGTTTCTTCTATCAAATTTTAATAATACACTATGCAGCTAGAATGATACATTTTGCATTTGTAAAAGATTGAAGTATGTAAGAGCATATAGTTTGTTATAATTAATTAGTTACTTGAAAACAAAAAAAGCGAATAAGTTAAATAAATTACCTCCGTCAAATTTTGAACCGTAATGATTTTAAGCTACTTGATATTTTTGCAGGAATAACATATAATTATGACATCGCTCTTTATCGCCTGAAATGTTATTACAACGATGTGTATCGTGGAATAGCTTCGAACGCAAATGTGACTGATTTGAATCAGGGCCCGCCGGTGTTTGCGTGCCGTTTCTGCACCACACCGGGATATGAGGAGATTCTCACCTTGGCGAACGAGGAGGGAAAGGTTGCCTTCCAAGACACCAGAGTCAGGGATAAACACAACCTTCCGTTGACAGGAACGCAGGTTGTCATTTATCTCGACTAAATGTAACAAGTAGTTGTTGCCTATCATTCTCAAGAGTAACCACTGTAATCTGCGTTTCATATTTTAAACTTTGACTACCTGTAATTTAATTGGGATTATTGTAGTTATTTTTAATTATTATCTCAATTATTTAAATCTATATCTTATATGAGTAAAAAAACTATGCTCTCTTGGCTTTCCAACTACAATCGTTTAGTCAAGTAACACAGAACCTCATCGTAATGAATCGTCCTTCAGAATATTCCTTGGTCTTTCACCGATGCCACGTGGAATTAATTAACTTTACTTCGCTGAAGATGATTATCGTGCAATTCTTTGATATTCCTTTTTTAGAGAAAGTAGATTTGAGTACTTTTTTTTACCAAAATTTTGTTTATTATATATTTATTAATTTACGACAGTTCTCCTTTTGATGAGCATTTTTCAACGAAACTTAGCTTTATATATTTTTTATTAAACAATTTTTAGCACATATTAAAGTTGTTTTGTACAAAAGATCTTTCGCAAACATGTTCTTCCTACGCGTATACTTGGCTTTTTTGTACCTTTTTAAAGAAGGTGATTTTGTTAAGATTAACTTTACTTCGCTGAAGGTGATTATGATCACAAGCGAAACGTTCAGACGATATATTGTACTTACAAGGTTTATTAAAGGATTAATATGTGCTGCGTTTAAAACTCTCAAAGCCTTCTAAATTAATTTGGTTTCAGTTTCAAGAGTTGTACATACCAATTCTTATTTGTTCATTATTGTTTATTTTATTTATTTTAAATGTAATGTAAATATAAACGAGCTTCTCGGCGCGAACGCGGAAGTGCTAATGGAAGATGTGTATGTTCTTCAAGGCACACTTTAACGCGATTTTCGATATCGCCTGGATGCCTGGAGAAATGAAGTTTGTCACGGCGTCGGGAGATCACTCGGCGCGCCTATGGGACGTCGCTAGGCTTGAGATAAAACAAATTAATTCTTTTATCGCACATACGAGAAGCGTAAAAACAGCGGTGTTCCGTGACAATGATAAAGGTACTCTAATTTTGCTTGTTAAGGAGTTACGAATATTTATATTTCTTGAAAGAATTACTGTGAAATTTGTTTTTATATCTTGGATGAAAAGAAACATTGCTTCCTTATCATCTAGGCAAGTTGTTTTTTTATTTTAAAGGTGCAAATGGAAAATTTGCACTTTGCATCTTCATCATTTAAGCAAATTGTTCTTTTCAATTTTGATTTCCTCCTAGAGGAGGAAGCTTTGTATGTAGGGTGCAAATTGGAAATTGTTTCCTCAAAATTTTAAATCACACAAAGCTTCCTCTCTCTGAGGAAGCCATATTCCTGTCCCTAATTCTCCTCTTATATGCATGTGGGTTTTTGGTTTCCTCATAAAGGAAAATTAAAATTCTGAGGAAGCAATTTCCAATTTCCACCTTAATTTATAAGGTTTCGTCTACGAAGAAAACTAAAATTTAAAAGAACAATTTGCCCAGATGAAGGTTGCGATCAAGCCGCTGCTACAAATGCTTCGAAGTGTTTCTCTTCTCCTTCTATCTTTCCTGAAAAAAAAGGAGAATACAATTTTCAATTTGCACTTTTAAAATTGAAAACTTACCCGGATGATGAGAATACAATGTGTAAATTTCCAATTTACACCTTTTTTATTCTTATTCTTTTAAAAAATTGTCGACGATTATCTGTGTTTTTCTGATTTACAATTTCAAAGTATAAATTTATTTCCTAAAATTTTGTTAATTACCGTCTCTTTCAGCATCTTTATGTTTTTAGACATTTTTTTAGATACTTTGCTCTTTCTCTTTTTGGGAAAATAATTTTTATTTAAGAATAGTGGACTTCCACGCCACCTCTGAGATGGTTTCACTCAGTGGCGCGTTAGGTTTTTTCATAGTAGTCGAACTTGATTTAGATCCTTTTCAAGTAAAATCTAAAATTACATTATAAATGTTTCAGCTGTCTTTGCGACGGGCGCTAGAGACGGCTTCATTATGATATGGGACATCAGAGCAAGTCACAGTAATCAACCGAAGCCAGATAACTGTATCGCCAATGCGCACGGTTGCATGGGCAGCACGAGACGGAAGTCATGCTCACGGTCGTATGCTCAAACATCGCGAATGCAAAGTATTACCGGTTTAGTGTTCCAAGATGACTTTACATTAATCTCGTGCGCTGCTGGCGACGGGTAAGACTCACCTCTCTACGCCTACACATGTTTGCATGCGAGTGTAACGTGTGTACTCTTCGTTTCAGTTTATTGAAAGTGTGGGACTTGCGCAAGAATTACACCGTCCACAAGAAAGAGCCGATAGCCAAGCATTTAATGAATTATTCTGGGAATAGTACCAGAAACGGCTTCTCCTCCTTGTTAATATGCCCTGCTAGAATTACGTTATACGCAAGTTGCATGGATAACGTCATATACGCTTATAACGTATCGTCATATAATTGTAAACCGGGTAAATATTTCTCTTCTTAAAAATGTGAAATAACGGGATGCATTCTCTCCTAATTGTAATCCTAACGAGGCAAAATTATGGAAAAATATATCCCCGTGACAGTGGCGGAATATTATGGGCATCAAAATCGTACGTACTACGTGAAAACCTGTTTGAGTTCTGACGGTCGCTATCTCGCCAGTGGATCTAGCGATGAACTCGCGTACATTTGGAACACCAACCGACCGGGCGCACCGCTAGTTAAACTTTCCAGTCACACGGAAGAGGTGACTTGCATTGCGTGGTGCAATGTGGGAGAAACGAAGGTTTTACTTTGTTTATTAATATGAATATTTAACAATTCTGAAAAAATATGGACTATAGATTTAGACATTTATAGAGAGTTTAATACTTACGTGATCCCGAAAATCATTTCAGATAGTGACTTGCTCCGACGATTCTTGTCACAAAATATGGAGGGTCGGATTCGAAGACGAAGAGGATAACAAAGACTTGATAATACACGGTCGGGCTGAAATTGTAGAAACATATTGTCCAGAAAAAATGAAAATAGAAACTACTCCAAGTTCTCGATACTCGAATATCCGTCAAGAAACTACGCCAAGCTCGAGCGAAGACAAGGCACCTATCCCTGTCCTGGGTAAGAATACACCATATCGCATGCAAAGTTTACGCAAATAAATGCAAGATGTAGAATATAAATTTAATTAATCTGTTTGAAAAATTTTTAGAGATTCCAAAGCGTAATTTTAAACTTCGGATATATTTCAAGATGACTTTCTCTTTTAAATTCCTCAAAATTTATGATATATTATGTATTAGCCTTAAGAAAATATTTTCATCCTACAGTTACTCCCAAGTTCAGTAAAGAAGATTATGATGAAATAAAGCACAATTCTGCTAAACGTAGTTTCCCGCAAATGATGATGGGGTCAAGATCTGAGGGAAAATTTAACTGTATTTTATCACCCATTGATGAAAACAATGAGATAGTTACGAAACGAGCTCGTATAGATAATCGTAGTATACGAAGGCTATTTAGTTCAAGTAACGAGACTACTACTGCAACTAGAGACTACAACTCGGACGAACCCAGTACGAGCCAATCCACGAGCAGGAATGAAGGTTTTTCTTCACCTACAAGTAACTTACCAAATTACGCGTTGGATGGTACAGCACCACACTTGCTTGAGATATCACCGCAAAAGTGTAAAGAGAACATGAGCGATGATTGGTTAACAAAACTGAGAAAGAATTACAAGCAAAAGAAACTTGCGTCAACTTCGAGCAGTCCGAAGATTCAATCGATACCTAGCCGAAGATATAACAGGTCGCGATCGACAGAACCCCAAAAAGTCACAAAAACAATCAAGAATAGTTCTCTCTGTTTACTGGACTTTAAGTTTAGTAAAGAGAATAAAAAGGATGGACCTTCGAATAATAATAATTTACCACCAACGAGTAAATCTTGAAAATAGTCAACATAAAATATATTTGGTTTCGAATTTGAATTTAGAATTCGCGAATTATGAGAATTTCACGAATTCAATCGTAAAACTTTTTTCGACTTTTATCGCACAATAAAAGCGAAGAATTGTAAAGGCCCGGTTATTAAACTAATATTAAACTTATTCACGATATAACAGATTTTCTTTCGGACGATAGAAATTTAGCAACAAGTACATCTTAAAATAATAAGCATGAAATTGGCAACTCGCGAATGAATATTCACAAATTGAATCTTGAAATGTTTCTCGGTTTTAGTTTCAATTGTTTTTATTTCGTAACAAAAGTGAAAGATCACAAATCCTATTCGCCTAATATTATAAAATAACTAAAACTTACTCATGATTTAATGAGTTTGCTAAGGAAAAAAAGGCTGATTTATAAAATGACTAAAATTTTTACGCTGATTTTCAAAATAAGAGATATTAAAGTCTAGGATTTACTCACAATACGTGCCTTATATGGTTTTCAAGATTAACAGTTAAGACAATTTAATCAAGTTGTAAGATAAACATGATCTGGCATACATTTGTAGTATAAGTATTATATTAGACGTTACATTAATACGTAAATGTATTGTATAAAAATTAACAATTGTTATAGTTAAAATATTTTTTGTACTCGGCAATAAATTATTTTTTTTTATAGAAGACATTAAATAATTTTTTTACACAACATACTTTGAACAATGTCTATTTTCTCATTTCTTTTCTATTCATTTTTAAGTAATGTAGAGATCGTTGTGATATAAACATTAGAATGCTGCAAAATAGTTTTTAATTGTTCCTAAGCTCCATTAGTATTATATTGTCCATTAGCTATTTGACTCTGGACAGAAAATCGTTACAGACTGTGGAAGTAATTTTATTTGAATTGGTTTTAGGTCATATTCTTCGTGGTCAATATAAAACATCTGACCTTCTTTCGTCTGAAATAAAGGTAGTAACATGTTATTAAAAATTGGTAGCTGAGAGAGAGAGCCATACTATAAAATAATTTATCTCTAATATATATATCTATTAATTATTTTATACATATTAGTATGTAGAATATTTCATTTATCAAAAGAAAAAGACTTACTGTTTGAGGATATAATTCAATATCTTTCGCATCTAATATTGGATTTATTGGCAATTCATTGTCCCTTTCTCGTTTCCATCCTTCCTCAACGAATGTGGCGTAACTAACATTTTCCGGGCCTTGATATAAAGTTGAGTGCATTTTAAACTTTAATTTTTACTTTTAATGTTTAAATAATAAGCAATACAGATATGATACAAATATAAATGTATTGTATATGAAATATGGCTATTACCTAAAGCTATTTTTAATAAAGGTGCTGACTGATTTGACACATTTTCGGTTTTTATGCATAGCTCTGTCGTTGAAATAGGCATGTTGTGAAATACACCACAATCTTCATTGATTACTTTACTATAATCGACATGATTTTCTGAAATATATTTTATATTAGATGTCAGACTTTTATTCCTATTAAAATAATACGCATAAACACATACGCATACATACAAAATACTACTTAGTATTTTCTTCTTACTTTAATATGCTTAATTTAATTTTCAAATTTCTTTAAATATTTTATTTACATTTCTATCTTTTTCGCTTTGTTATGATTTTATTATTATTAATTTATTATTGAGTTTAGTAACATTTTGTATGAATGTTCAACTCCAAATCTTACAAGAATTCTTTTACCGGAAACGAATGTTTGTCTCTTTGGCAGAAATGCGTGCCACCATCTTCTATTGGAATTCGTCGATTGATTGTAAGACAAATCTTTAGAATAGCAACGTGAACATCCTTTGCAAGGGTTTGTATACTTCATTTCCGCGTTGCACTTCCAGCTCAACTGTGATTTGTAACCACTGAATACATAAGCTGCATACCTGTTTGCATTCAAATTCAGAGAACATGAGACATGAACGTAAGGAAGTCTTGTTAGAAAATAATTGAGAGACTTACTTGCGCAAGGAACCCCAGTACCAATATTTCTCAATACGTGCGTGCGTATCGCTCCAAGCTCCCCAATCTATGCCACCAACAGCATAAACTGGCTTTACAGGGTTTGCCGGATCGTTCTTAAATTAAAATCTCTACTTTAATGCAATTTGATCTTTGTGCCAAGCGAACGAGATGCGATAAAAATACGTACGTTTATCAATTTGATTTCAATGGCATCTATCGATCTGAGATTATTCTTAATAATCGCCATCGTTGCATCAATCATGTGACGTATGTCGGTTAAATCTTCATACTTTCGATAAAACATGCTTGCAATCGTATTTGTGCTTCCCAATGGCAAAACACCAATAGGACATTGTCTGATCGAATATAGATCGTGCTCGTATTTCCTCATTAAACCAGTTACAACATCCAATAAGGTACCGTCACCACCAGCTATGATAATAGCATCGGTAGCTGTTTCCAGATTCTTTATTGCCTCACGTGCGTGGCTTCCCGATTGCGTGTCGATGACAGTTACCGAAATGCCAGCCAAGTGCAACAGAGGTTCGCAGTACTTCTGGAACAATTTCTTGGCCGTCCTAGGGAAGAGAAAACGAAATAATCGGCGAAGGACAATTTTGACATTTTACATCAACATTTCAGTTCTCGCAATCACCTTTTCTTAGCAGTGGGGTTTAAAATAACGGTCACATGACGAGGCCTGACATTGGTAGGGCAAGAGGCATCTCCGTACCTGACTACATCTTTGCAGTACTGGTGCATTAATTGTTCTGTACTAGATACAACACAAAATTCAGTGACATAAAGAATTATAAATATATTCAAAGCATTTGTAAGTAAAAATAATGGTAATATGTGGTTTAGATTAAACACTTATGTGTAGTTATGTACTTTAGATTAAATCACAAAACAATTCTCTGCTACAACTTCGTAAATTAGTGTATTTTATTATCAAGGTAGAGAATAGTCGCTGCATATCGTCGGCGTGACAGGTTTCCTAATCCGGTCAGTTAACAACTTTAACACTTAATATCTCGCTTCGCGGGACAGAGCGACGATTTTACCTGAGAAAAAAAGTTGTTTCTCGTTCAAAAACGCGTCGAATGAGTCTGTATACATCAGTACCGGAGGTGAGGACCCTAAACTACACAACTATCATGTGTGTTACAAAAGTTTAAAGAGAAGAGTTTGAGGTTATGTTACTCATGATTATTTACTCGTATGCTTGCTTGCCGTACGAAACTCCGTACGAGAAAGCCGCGGCTCCAACCACGGACTTCTTCCAGTTATTTCGTATCGTTTTCAGGAAAGTAAGTACTTTTGCCATTGTCAGTCGAACTCTCAGAACCACGTGAGATTTTAATTTAGCCGCTCTCGCTGTTCGAATTCACGGTTTTTCGACTTGTCTTTATCTTTACACTATCCGTCTCTTTCAATCAATTAAATCCCTTAATTTCACATTATTTTCATTTTACACAGGTATGGGAGAATCGCATAATTCTCGCGACACTTTTGAATTGTACACTAGCCAGCATAATGTGTATATAATAAACTCTCCCCCTCTTTCAAGCCTAAAGACCTGTGTTCGACGTTCGTATTCACCTCTTTTACGATGCTAGAGAAAATTTAAAGCCAACGGCACACGATACTCTATTTTTCCTACTGGATTGCTTACGAGAGCCAATCAGGATGCAGAGTTTTCGATCAGTTGACTCAAAGCTGAGTCCTGATTGGCTCTCGTAAGAAATCTAGTAGGAAAAATAGTATCGTGTGCCGTTGGCTTAATGATTTGTAGACACTTGACGACAAATGAACGTATTTATAAATAACTGCTATATATAATAATTTGTATTTCGTATGAAGACGTTTGAAGTGCTATTGAAAAGGTTTGTGAGTCATTCGTTTGTTTGTAATTAATTAATTATTTTTTACCATGTATTTAGCCGCAAGAGATAAATTGAATAAAGTTTTTATATGGAATCGTTTGTATTTTGTATGAAAAGTCATGAAGTGTGATTAAAAAGGTTTGTGAGTGATCCGGATAATTTTAATTAAATATTTATTAATCGGAAGTTAGCCGAATTTCGAAGAAAATGAAAACATTTCATCGGTAGTTTCCTATTTGTGATTCTGAATGATTTAAGACCATGAAGCCTGTATTGAACCCGCTGCAGACGATGCTATTTTTCCTGCTGGATCGCTTGCGATTTGATAAATTACTATAATTGCACCACTCAGCACTCAAGATTTCTAGTCTGGCATCGTCTACAGCGGGCTTTAATTCAAGACGGTCTTGAATAAAAAATCCGACTATGGAAACCGGCCATAGGGTTTCAATCTCTATTGTAGATGGGCATTTACGCTAAGTTCGCCACGCATGCGCAGTAAAACCCGACCGTCTCACGCGTTGTAGGCACGGTCCGCCACGCTCGGAGTCTTCTCTTATACAAACCAAGATGTCGAAAAGAGGTAAGTCTGTAATCGTGAACGAAATCGTGAAAAATCTGTCTCGGGACGACCCATCGGTCCCGAGCGTAAAGATCCAAGTACGGAGACACTTTTCGTGCATTTGATGAAATGATACGTTACTTTATTATACGCGAAGGGAACGAGTGATTCTTTCAATACCTCTGACTCAATGCTTCGTTATTTCCTAAGGACGTGGTGGATCGGCTGGAGCTAAGTTCAGGATATCGCTTGGTCTACCGGTTGGCGCGGTCATCAATTGCGCCGATAACACTGGTAAGTTTTGCAAGAGAGAGCATCCTATATTTTTTTTTTTACAAATTCTTAACCTCAAAAGACAACTGCAATTCGCGATCAAGACTGGCACATGGCCGACTGTCGCGTTTGTGATTGTCAAGTAGTCTTACAATGTCTGTTTTCCGATCTGTTGATTGATTTGATAAAAAAACGTAGCCTTGCGCGATTAGATTGTCTTTTTTGTAGGTGCCAAGAACCTATATGTCATTGCGGTGCAAGGAATCAAAGCTAAACCAAATCTAATTTTATTCTTAAAAAACTAAAGTTCCAATAAAAATATACCAAGACTGATACGTGTAATTAATACTATTGTTTTATAGGCAGTACAATTCAGTGTTCTTTTTTATGGTAGATTTTTCTTGAATGTGTTTCGTACATAATAGTAGAACAATTTTTTCTAAAGTAACATGTAATTGCGAAGATACTGAGCTGTATAATTAGACTGTCGAGATTATTTACGAGGCTCCTATTTACGAGGCTGATTTGTATACGACTATAAATTTAAGGATCAGACATAAGTTTCGACTCTAGCGACTTCTCTCGTTACTCCACCACCCCCTCCCCCCACTGATGAGACCTCTCTTAAAGGCAAATTGTCTTTTTTAGGTGCCAAGAACCTATATGTCATTGCGGTGCAAGGAATCAAAGGCCGGTTAAACCGCCTGCCAGCAGCGGGCTCCGGCGATATGATCGTTGCCACCGTGAAAAAGGGAAAGCCTGAACTTAGGAAAAAGGGTAAATTAATCGCTCTCCTGCTTTGACACTGATTATGTTTAGCAGAGAAAGTAGCTTAAGCGTTTAGTAAATCCAATAGCTGTATTTGACCGAAAACGCAGCTTGGTAAATGCTCGGCGATACTTTAATATGATTGGTTCTTTTAGTTCCTTGTTGAATATAAAAGCACTCACTATACTGTTTTTTTTTTATTTGCTGAACACAGTCATTGCCTTCTTTCAAGGATTTTAGATAGACACGCGTGTATTTTTACAGTGATGCCTGCGGTGGTCATACGGCAACGGAAGCCATTTCGTAGGAAGGACGGAACGTTCATATACTTTGAGGACAATGCCGGTGTGATTGTCAACAACAAGGGTGAGATGAAAGGATCGGCTATTACGGGACCTGTCGCGAAAGAGTGCGCAGATTTGTGGCCAAGGATCGCATCCAATGCCAGCAGCATCGCATAGTACACACATCCTGTATAAACTTACTGTCCTTAATGAAATAAACCCGAAAATATGTAATATTCTTTTGTATTCGATGTCCTTGCTAAGCGACTGTTCGCTGCACCCCATGTCATAAGGAAAATTGATAAGTTGTGGAGTGAGACTTGCATCTCGAATTTTCATACATTTTTATAGATGTTTCAACAGTTACGAGTTGACACCAAGACGTATATTTTTTGTGAAAAATTGAAAACCTAATGAGGTACGGTCATTAAATAAATTTTGTTTAGATTTAAAGTTAAAATTTCCACCTTCAACTGGTAAACAACTAATATTAATTTACCATATACCATTTTGTCTATGGGTATTGGAAAACGTAAGAATGTAATATTTCAGGACTACCGCAACTCAAGGGAGCTTAGTATCGGAGTCTCCCAGCCCCGATGATGCAAACTGCAGTCTGCAATGTTTGCGAAACGTCAGCATGTAAATATACATATAATATAACTTCCAAGTTCTAAGAAGGCTGTTGCACTTATATGCAAAAGTTTTAAGACGGATCTACAATAGATTTAGTAAGCCAATGACTTCTGTACCCTCCAGTCCCAAATAATAAACGAGGACTCGATTCTTGAATTTATTCGAAAGAGAAACATGCGAAAATTCTACCCTTACAGAAAAGTTGCACGTTGATTGGTTATCCGCATGGCTTTTAGCCAATCGACATACAACGTTTTTCGTAAGTGCAGATGTAAATAGTGCCCTATGGTTGGTATTACATTTGTCGTACGACAAAGTTTGCAAGCGTGTTGATTGGCTGCTGAATAGTAAATTTCTAGATACTCGACAATTTTACTATCCTGCAGCCAATCAACACGTTTGAAAAATTTGTATATGTACATACGCCAAATCGACTGATCTTGCGAAAGAGATTAGTCAAAATGTAATACCAGCCTAAAGCCTATCACACAATGCCAGGCAACAGGCAATAGGAATAGGGAATAGAATTTTTGACGCGTTGGATTGGTTGAACGAAAATTTCCGACGAATCCAACGCGTCAAAAATTCTATTCTCTATTCCTATTGCCTGTTGCCTGGCATTGTGTGATAGGCTTAATAGTTGCACCACTGCGTTTGGCCCTGCGTATGTATACACACATACATGCGTACTTGCAACTAGTAGAGAAAGCTAAGGAATATTGGGGGAGGGAGGGGGAGAGAGAGAGAGAGATTTGTTTTAGTCTAATATTTCCCATATCTTCTGCAGTCAAGAAAATTGTTTATTTTTATCATACTCGTTTACTTAATAACCAAGCAAAATTGATAACAAAATGATACTGTAGTTCGTCAATATTTTAGAATAACTAAAAACTTGTTCTATTTCAGGAAAGACATCAAGAGATAGAGAGAGCTAGAGAGAGAGGGGGGGGAGCGATTAAATTTAACATACAATAAAAAGGAAAAAAATACAAGCTATATTGCATTTTCTCTATTGTGTGCTCTTCGCCAGCTTGCTACGTCAGTGACAATCGAAGAGCATAGACGGGGAGCTGCGCGCCCGCCTCGTCGCGCATCGTATTGTGATCGCGTACCCCGTAGTAGTACTGCGAGAGGAGCTGGAGTTGTGGACAGCCATACCGTGTTCCGTCAGTGAAAGTCTCGAGGTGAGTAACTCGGTTCGTCGACGAGACGAACTCGCCCGTGTTCTTGACTTCGCGCTCGAACTCGTCCGAATCCATTCTCGATCCGGGGGCCCGCTCGATCGCATCGTCGATGAGATTTATCGACGTCCCGTGACGATCCACACTCTGCGGCCAGCTCTGTAAATACCAGCCAGGCCGACATACGTGTTGCGTTACGTGCGTAACGCTGGCCATTTTAGCGGATAATTTTTGCTAAAAAGTAGGGGCGGAGGAAGAGGGAATCGAAACGCAAACGGCCAATTTATGTAATCGCGCGCGTTATACTCGCCAGTCCGTCGTCGCGGGCTCGAGCGAGTAACGTCCGTGATGTGGAAAATGTTCTTTAGGAACAAGCTCCGTAGAAATGTAACGACGTATCTCTATAAGCTGCGTTGCACTGTAGAGCAAGAGAGAGAGAGAGAGAGAGAGAGAGAGAGAGAGAGCTATAGAACTTGTAGAGCGAAAATCTTGCGGAATATTGGCCCTCTCGTACTTCACCTCCTCTGCTTATGACAGTGCTGTGTTGCGCCAATCGCGCCTTCACACATTTTGCGACTTTTCACACCAATTTACATCGCGTGCTCGTATCAGCATGCATTTTCCCGTCGCGGCTGTTGTACCGAAAAGATACGCAATCTACCCCGAATTCAGTCTTGTCTTCACAAAGTTATAATAACGAAGGTGTTTATCTCTCTGAGATATGAAGCAGCGACCTAAGGTTTCTCGAGAACAATTTCCAAGGATGAACAGGCTCGATTCCAGTTTTGATTTCGTAAAAGTTCTAATAACAAAGGTGTACTTTCGCTTTCTGACACGTCGACGCGGCGATCTAAAGTTTCTCGGAAAAGGGATCTCCAAGTCCTGAATGTAGTCTCGACTTCGTGAAGTCGCGACAACCAGGGTATGCTTTGTGAAATGCCAAAGCGGCGACCGTAAAACTTGCGAGAAAACGATCTCGAGGAATAAATAAATCATCGTTTAAATCAGGTTTGGCCTCGCAAAGTCGTTACGTTCATAAAAGTATTTTGTTTTCCCGAAATACCGAAGCGGCGACGCAAGGTTTCCCCACAGCTTATTGCATCATTGATGTGACTCGAAGAGTTGCACAATTTGATAAAATTTATCTAAACATTCCAAGATGGTATACGTAAAGTACAGAAACGATACGCGGACAAGCTTGAAACTGTCTCGTTACCATAAGACAGTAATGTTATTATCAAATATATATATACATTATAGTTTACCTTTCAATTCTCCAATGTTTCGGATAGTATCAAGTTGCTTGGCTAAAGAAGAAAGTTCTGAACAAACGTTGGTTTCAAATGGACAGCAATCATTTCTTCAACTATGACTTTGTACAATTTGCTTAAGCATATGCGTGCCCCAATATTTTTATGTGCACGGTAATGTACGACAAGAGTCAATTGTTTACTACATCAGTTAATATGTTTTAGATAAGGCCTGGATATGTTGGCGATGCAGCCGCAGACTGTGCCCGTTTGAAGGAACGATCACTGGATGAACAAAGGTGATAAAGTCTTGAAGGTAAAATGGAGTCTAAGACACACGAAGCTAGTGACGATTGCGTGATGAAACCTTCCGACGCTAAGAATTCGGACGGCGAGGAGTTCAGGGAGACGCAGTCGAGTTCTCTGGAACATCCGAACACCTTGGGGAATGTAGATAGTTCTGGTGTTGTATCTGAGAGCGGTGTCACTTCGAAAGACACTAGTCATATAGTCGAATTACATGGCAATTCGGCCTGCGGGGCTGTGCAAAACGAAGAAGCGAGCGGGTCCATGGAGCTGTTCGCGGAGGACGAAAGAATGACTGATAAATGTGACAAGATTAACGACGTGTTGAAGGAGATCTTGTGTGCCAGCAGTTCTAATTCAGTCGATTTACCAGAGGCGACTACCTCGCAGGACAACAGTCCGTCTTCTTCTCACACCAACGAGGCGTCGCACGTGGATCAGAAAGTTAAGAGGAGTATCTCAAAGGGCCAAACGCGTGCCGGTAGCGGCATGTCGGTCGAAAGGTCCGATGAGAGTTCGGACGAGGATTCGAGTAAGCGGCAAAAGTTGAATAAAAGTACATGCAAAACCAGTGCCGGAAACGCGAACGACGACCCTGTGACGTTTCAAAAAAGCAAATCGAAGGCGAAGCAGCGAAGCTATCGCAAGAGGCGAAATGTAATGAGCGATAACGAAGACAGTTCCGGAAATACCTTGTCTAACGAGGTAACGAGGGAAGCTCCCATCCCTGATGCAGATGAGGGTAATTGTTTACTCTGTTGTGCATAAAATTTCAGCGATAATTATTTTTGTTATTTAACCCTTTCAGTCATATCGGTACTCTAAGTTACCACCTTTATGATCTCGTTTTTTTTCGCTATAACTTCGAATAAAATAACTTTTGTTTGAAACGTTTTTTTTTATAAACCTTAGTAACAAGATTATAGAGTAAGGTTCCAATAAAACAATATTAAACAATTTATCTTGCAATTACATATAATTTTTTTTTCACCGAAGTTCTGGTGACGGCTCACATTGCCCCTATTGTCTTCAAATATTTAATGGTTAACATCGACTCAATCAGAAGACTAAAGCCCGGTTTCACCAAACGTCGCTTACCTTTAATCTTAGGTTTACTCACGTCTGTCTCTTTCTGGATTAACAGTTGGAAAGAGACAAGGAATGAATTAAGGCGAGCTTAAAGTTAAACGAGGTTGGTGAAACCGGGCCTAACTTTAATATAAACCTTAGTTTTCGAGAAAAATCAATAAAAAATGAGCGACTCTAATTATTGGCTATCAATCTTCTTAATCAACTGTATATCAAGTATTTAATACTATAATGCACTAAAAATAATTGAATAAAGGAACTACTTGTCAGCATTGCTCCATGCACCCTTGTTGAGTCATGTTTTTCTCTGGTAATTCTGAGGTATATTTTACCATTCAAGCCAGAAAATCATTTGTTAACAATGATTCGTGTAGTTATGCTTGAAGAGGCAAAATGCATGTGGCGTCTTACCCGCGTACACTGTGTGGCATCTTATCCACATTGACTAAAATAAGATGAAAAAACCTATGTTGTTTAAATTACAAAATGACGCGTTTCTACCTGTAATGCAAGCGCACAGTAATGCACACAATTGGAATCATATTTCAATATTATATCTTTGCAATTCCGTTATTGAAATGTGAAGATTAATGAATAAGCATTTTAAATTAATACAAATTTGTAAAAATAGTTGTAGTTTTAGTATTCGCCCATATCAATTCAAGATCTTTCAAGAAATCCGCCCGCTTCCAATAGTATGGCCGACCGATTAGAATAAACACTATGACCGCGCTGTTGCTATCATTTAGTTACACTTTTGGAAAATAAAGCCTTGTAGCGTTTGACCCACAATGGCATCATGCCTGGACCCAGTGAGAAATGATTCGTCGATCGATGTCGAAATGATGTCGAATCGACATCGATACCGGCAAATTGACGTCGATTCGACATCGTTTCGATATCGATCGTTATTGAATTGATTATTATTTAATTATACATGATAACTATATTATGACGATGGTTGTTACACGTAAATTATATACATAAAAATAACAGTTATTGTTACATTTTAGGAAATGTTGCGTCTGCCAGTACTATAAATGAGTCAACTCAGAATGAGTCGTCAGACAAACATTCAGGAGCTCGCAGATCAGGATCAGAAACGCCTAATGATGAGTCTGACCGATACAAGGCCGTGAGAGGTATTCTATGCCTTTTTACTGCTTGTTCGATAAGATGTAGAATTCGGATTTCTTGACAGGTGACTCGAACGAGTGGAGGGCTAACGAGGACGATTGGGATGACGAGGAGGAGGATGAAAATGAAGACGAGGAAGTACCTCATTGCCTAAAAATAGAGAAACCGCCGCCTAATTGGCGCATTGTGCCAGAAATGATAAATCGCCAAATAGGTAGCAATCCATTGTTCCAAAGAAGGTTCTATGGCTCTCTACACGCGGTAGAGCGGCTCGAGCTTATGTACAATCTTAATGAGCATCAGGTAAATTATTTACCTTACAAACGCTGTATATTGAACCACGCAAGAGTTTTACGCTGATGGAATTATTACTGGACTACCTTTGCATTATTGATACTTATTGACCTTTGATTATTATTTGTAGGGTTGCGTAAATGCCTTAAACTTCAATCAAAAAGGAAATTTGTTAGCGAGTGCCTCTGATGATTTAGCGGTTGTTATCTGGGATTGGGCTGTGGGGAAAAAGCGCCACTGGTTTATCAGCGGTCATACCAGCAATATGTTTCAAGTGTGTAGTATAACTGGAATCATTACAATCAGAATGTTTTGCAGCGGTCATTTCTACATTGCCGTATTTATCTTTTGCCAATCGATTTTCCGAAATTCGTACGCGTTTAGGCAAAGTGGTTACCGTTAGACATGGAATATCTTATGGTCACTTGTGCTAGAGACGGTCAGGTACGTTTATTGGATCTCAAACACGACACATCGAAGAGACTGGCGTCACATCGTGGACCGTCGCACAAATTGGCTGTGCACCATGAAACGCCTCACCTGGTCTTTTCCGCTGGAGAGGACGCAAGGGTTTTCTCCATTGATATCCGAGAGAGTAAGCCGAACAAGTGAGTCGTCGCGATCTACGAGTTCAATTGTATTTGTATTTTCTATTCTTTGTGTTTACAATTCCCATAGCGCGTCTAATATAGCGTATAATGCTAATTTTTTCGCGTAATAAATAAATTTCCTGCATCCACAGGTTACTCGTGGTGAAGGAAGGTTCGTCAGAGGTGCAGCTATTCAGTATACATTCTAATCCTTTTAATAGTAATGAATTTTGTGTCGGAGGCCGCTCGCACTACGTGAGAGTGTACGATCGGCGAAAAGTCTCGACGCCGCTTTATAAGCTGTGCCCTGATCATCTGGTATGTCTTCTTATATTGCAATCGCGAAAAAAATGTTCGCTAATATTTCAAGTACAAGAACAAATGTGTCTTTTACTTTTTTTTACATGTGTAATTTAAATGTCTTAGACGGGAAACAGGCACGCGCATGTAACGTGCGCCGTATACAATCACAACGGAACAGAAATTCTCGCGTCGTATAATGACGAGGACATATATCTATTTGATAGATTAATGTCATCACATGTAGATTACGCTCATAGATACCAGGGCCATAGGAATAGTGCAACTGGTACGTTATACATCATATGAATATTATACAATTACATTCTATATCCTTGACTCCAAATCTTTTCAATACTTCAATCTCTTTTTTTACGTTTTACAGAAGAAAATTAACATCCAATAACATAATTCCGCGTACATTTTTAAATTAATTTTTACATTGAGGCATAATGCTTTTTAGAAATCTTCATGCACATTTCTTTGAAAATTCCTAGTTAAAAAACGGTGCTTTAAATTAAAAGAATTGCGATTTATTAATTATTATCTGTCGTTCGATTGCAGTAAAGGGAGTCAATTTCTTTGGACCTAAGAGCGAATATATTATATCTGGATCTGATTGCGGTAATATATTCATTTGGGACAAAAACACGGAAGCTGTTGTACAGTGGATGGCAGGAGACAAACAAGGAGTTGTGAGTTTTTTCGAAAATTCGCAAATTTGATAAAGAACTGTTTCCTTTTCTGCAACGTAGAAGAGAAAATAACGGTTCTCTTATCATCTAATTTACAGGTCAATTGTTTAGAAGGACACCCACATATTCCCATTCTTGCGACAAGTGGATTGGATTATGATGTTAAGATATGGGTGCCTTCGTGCAGAGAACCTCCGGTAATGAAATTATTCGAAAATGTAAGTAACCGGAAATCGTCTCTTCTTTCTTTCGTTTTATTTATACATTTTCTGTTTGTCTTCTCGTTTGTGTATCTCTTGTTTTGTCATATCGTTTAATAATAATTTTTGGTATCACGTTCCTGAAATAAGTAATACAATTGAATACATACAACAGTAGCGACTGATTATTAGTCGTAGACTAATTGTATATCGATGAATATATAATTCACGTATTATTTTTTTACAAGTGTGTGAAGTCCAATGCGAAGAATAGGAAACAAGAAAACGTGCCTGATTCATTCGATGGCCAATTACTTTGGATTTTACTGAGACATATCCGTCATAGAGAGAGAGTACGTGTAAGTAGTAATACATGTTGGAGGCATTTGTGTGATATCTCAAATTAATTGTTGCGCACTCACTCTAGAATCTTTATACGCGTTACGGAATCGAGGATCCAAGTCCGGATGAGGACGACGACGACGATGACGACGACGATTATCGCATCGACGATTCCTCGATGAACAGTTCGTCCGAGGACAGTGATAATCAATCGGAAGGTGGCGACGTTGGAAGAATACAATGCCCTCCGTCTTAAAGTTGTTGCTTAATTAACGCGATTTGATATTATGAACGGGAGTTATATAGCGTTCATATTAGTCGTTTCACGATTATAATAAATTCTTCTGGATAATTGTGTCGATGGCTTTACATAGTGGAGTGTATAGAAGGGACAGTAACCGCGCAACGTATCGAAGAAGCTCCATATTCTAGTTACGATTGATCTTTTTTATCAACTGGAAATCGGTAGCGTGAACTACGCAAGTGGCTCACGGTTGTATTGTAATTTTTGAATATATACGTTGAACGGACACACGAAGACTGTACATTTTGCTGGGATGTACAATAGTAGGGAAGAAAGAGAGAAACTTAGTATTTTACAATAAGTTACAAACGCGTAACGATTATAAAATCGAAGGAAACGCATATGTTTAAACACATTTTGTTGCGATCAACATTACCTCCGTACATCACAGGGTCATTTCTTTTTATTTTATACGTATATATTTTTAAAATGTTAATATATAACATTAATCGTATTTCTAAAAAAAGAGTCATGATACTCTTTGATTTACAATATGATTACATGTTAATATCAGTTTGTCATTTTAAAAAGAGGTAACGGTAAAATATATAAATTTCTTTCAAATGTTTTCATTGAGTACAAGGAGTTGAATTTTTGCTGAGCAAACAGGAAAGGCAATTTTTTTTACGACAAAAGCCATTTTTAACTTGTAATTGTTGCTTTCAGGGCAGAGTCACGTATTATTAGTAAATGCTCATGGCGTTTAATCTCTTTGTTAAATATGAAACATTCTGGATTTCATAAATCACGTGTCTCGTCTGCTTTTTCGCAGCAGTTGCGCGAGGAAGAGAAGATCGCAAGAAATTACAGGAGAGCGACAAGAACAGCAATCGATGCATAAATCTCGATTAGAATTTGGGTGTTTTTTTTTTCGTGGAATCGCGGCGCTTTCGGAACGCTTTCATTAATTTATTTATTTATTGGGAACAATGTGCCTAGTATAAGTAGTAGGTCCATTCCGTTATTTGTTTCATTTTGATCCCTTCTGCACATCCGACATGGGTTTTTATTTTTTTTTTGGTTTTTTTTATTCGACATTTTTCTGGGCAGACCAATGAGAGAAGTTGTATGTGTGGTAGTGTGGCTTTGATGAGTCCGTATATACACACACACACACACACACACATACAACGCTGCCCGAGTACACGGCGGAATACCACGTGATTGGGACAGCAAAGATCAAAGGGGCCGACAGAGAGTGGACTCACTAGTTGTACTATGCAATGTGCAGCAATTAGAAACGAGCCTGTTTGGTGTTTTACAGGTATTCATCTTTTCCTCTAGCGTGAATTCGTGAAAAGTGAAAAATTTAATTGAATATGGAATTCTTTAAAGAAAATTTTCACGAGTTCGCGTCAGAAGAAAAAAAAAATCGTGATCGAGCTCCATGTCTTTCGCTTGTAACCATAGATTCTGTGCTTGTTTAACTTAATGGTGGCGCTGTGTAAAAGTAATTGCTTCGTTGTACTAACTAGATTAACATTTTTAAAATAACACGAGCTAGAAAGTTACAAGAAACGATGGAATATAAGTGTACTAAACTTGAATATCTATGTACGCAGTAACCCAGTCAGCAAAATTTTAGCAGATCGGCAGCAGATTTTATCAGAAACCCACGCCAAAACCATAGCTATCTGTGTCCGGCATTTGGCTTTTGTTTTGGCAACAGAGTCTGTAAAACATACGCTGTAAACGGATTGCCGGTAGAAATCGAACAGGTCCAGGTGTGTGAGCAGATTTTCTTGTATTTCTGCTGACACGCTGGCAACATGTCGAATATATCAGTTCCTGCATGCAATCTGCGGTCTTCCTGCCTTCAAAATTTGTAGTGGGCGTTTGACGAAATCTGTTCTGGCAGATTTGGCTATCTGGGGAATAATCAGATAGCACGGACTTAGGCACATAGAGAAAACATTGGGAATAAGAATAATTAAAGTATTAATTATAAGTTACATTGTTTAAGTTTATAAAATAGAATATATTTTCTGGGTTATGACCATATAATAGATTTGTATCTTGTATTTTGTTCTTTTTCGCAGTGCGTTGCATTTAATCTTTCATTTTTTTTTTCCTGTTTTTTTCCTTCTAACATTTAATGTTTATTCCTATTCCCAAGATTTCCTCCATTGGTGCGCATGGTTTTAGGATTAAGAGACTGCGACAATTCGCGCCGTGACGGAAAAATACCAAGAATAAAACTCGGTATATTAAGATAAGAAAAACAGTCCGCTACGAACGGAACACCGCGTATATCGCGCGCTCGTGGCTGCCGCCATCTGGCGGCGCGGCGCGGCGCTCCGCGGTCGGCGGCAGGGAGGGGGAAGGAGGTCACGGCGCGCATGGCCAATCGGGCGCGTCGGTTCTCTCCTATCCTCGTCCGCCCCGTCGGTCCGGCTGCTACGCGTACGATTATCACTGACGTGTCCCCGCGCGAGGCTCGGCTACGTACGTGCGTGCAATTCGTCGGCTCGCTTCGCCGATATAATCCTCGCCCCGGCCCCGCGCGCATAGAATTAGCCGGGCAATACCGCCAGTCATCGCGCACGCCAGTCGTTGGGCTGCGAGCGAAAGCGAGACGTTCCGTGCGACGCCCCAGCTAGAGTCCGACCGTCAGCGGGAGAGTCAGTTTGGTCCGTGAGAGCGACGAGAGAGAGAGAGCAAGAGGGAGAGAGAGAGGAACACGCGCACCGAGCTGAGCGCGATCGACGAGCAGAATTATGGCAGCGACCATGAACCTCAACGCTTTCTTCAATTCCTTCAGCAGCACGCTGTGAGTATCCTCGCGATCGGGAACGAGGGTCTTCCGTTTACGCGATCCTCTCCACCCCCCCCTCCTCCCCCTCCCGCGAGATCCGTCTCGTGACGCAGCTTCTCGCGAGCCCGTCTTGATTTTGCCCTCGCAGGCCTCGCAGCCTTGTAAAAAGAAGAAAAAAAAAGGGGGGAACATAAAGCGCGATTTACGACACGTATGTTCCGTCGGCGACGTGTCGCGCGATGACCTTCAACTTCGGTAAGGTGCTCGGTAGGTGTTTCGCAGCGACGACGGACGGACGGGACGACGTGTCGTAGATAACAAGCGCGACGTAGTTGCGTCGCGCGCGCGTGCCCGTACGTCCATGTACGTGCATGCGTATAGCGGTAGCGAGTGCCGAGAGACGCCGAAAGTGTGACGTCGAGGGAGGGAGAGAGAGAGTCAGATTCCGTGGCTTTCCCCGAAGACGAGGTCGATAACGATAACGATAGAACCACGTCCTTCGACGTGGGAGACACCAATCTCGAACCGATCTTTGTTCTCCTTCCTCCCTTCCCTCCCCCCGGGAACGTCGTTTCGAGCGACGGTGGTTCGGACATCCTTTGTATTGAGTCTCTTCCTCCCCCCCCCCCCATGAGTCCCGTCTGGGCCGTCGAGCGGTTCACACGTCTTCCGACGGAAGATAAAAATTTTTGATCCTGCGGGATTGCATCATCCAATAGGGATTGCATCATCCCGCGCGAGGTTCGGTAGTTGGGCCTCTGCATTGTGTGACATTAAAAACGCGATTACACGTTAAGAGATTTATATCATCGAGTCAAGACTATTGGTTCGTCGTGGTCGTGTCGGCTCGATACAGGAGCCGGGTGCCATAACAAGAACAAGATAAAGAAGACCCCCCCCTCCCTCCAGGGATCTATACGTGTTGTTTTTAGCCGCGCCGCGTCGTAATGCCTCTCGCACTTGAAGCGACGAGCCCGACTCCGACTGACGATAAGTTCCGATTTAATGTAATCGACAATTAACTCGTCGGGCGACAACCGTGCCGTTTCGTTAACGCGGGTGTAATTATCGATTTTTCGGTCGTTCAACGTGTACGGAGATCGGGCTCGGGAGGGCGAATTGTATACGGCTAGAAGTTTCGCCTCTTGGTCAAACCAATTCCGGATGAACCCTTTCAGCCGATTTTTTCTGAGACTTAAAGCCTATCACACAATGCGAGGCAACAGGCAACAGGAATAGGGAATAGAATTTTTGACGCGTTGGATTCGTCGGAAATTTTCCTTCAACCAATCCTGTTGCCTGTTGCCTGGCATTGTGTGATAGGCTTAATACTTAGTTTTTTTAGGGGGGGGGGGAGTTGCTGATTACGATTCTGATGTCAGAATTGCAAATTAAAATGTAGATTTTCGCGCGTCATGTTGGATCCGCCATTATGAATTTTGTAAACTTGACCTCACACGCGTCATTAGCAACCTGAAGAACTTCCGAGCACCGAGTTCCAGATAAACTGATTGCATTTTTTTTTTGCAATTTTGACTCGTTACATTGGATCCGCCATCTTGGAGTTTCAAGTCTTCAAATTTTGACGTCGGATTAGAAATCGGTGATCTCGAGAGCTCCCGGATACCTGGTTTCGCAATGTCGTTAAAAAATTTTTTGGCTACAGGATATCTTGTGGAAGAAAGTTTTTCAAGTGATCGAATTGATGAGACGCCCGGCCTAGTGAGAGGGAGGTCTAGGTTCAAACCCTGGCCGGGGTATTATTTCTCGCAATAGACTTAAAATTAAAATTATTCGGACACTAATCCTGTCTTGGCTCTTCTTCATTACTTCGTATTTGTGTTTTTACATTAGAGCCTTGTGAATTTTGTGAATTGCTTAAATTACGCTGGATGAAAAAAGCGTTTCTTCGTTTTCACTAGGTATATGGCAGGAAAGGGGGGGGAGCAATAAGATTCATATTTAGTCTAATATTACG